GGCATAAAAAGTGGCGTACGCAAGTTTCTGGGCTCAAATTGTGCGTACGCCAGTTTTATAAATCCGACCCCAGAACTGGACCGGCCATTGGCTAGAGGAAAAACAAACACGTCAGTGATGAGCTTTCTTTAAAAAACACATCACCAGCTCCTTGTGGCTGACTTAAAGGACATTTTAAACGAGCAGGAGGAGGTGGTGTTTCGTATCTCCGTTACCTTGAGGGGCTCTGGGTGGAGCGCCGGAGGTTCCAGCTTTGTCGCGCACGAGCCGACGGGTGCAGGAGGCTGAGGAGCYGCAGAGAGGTCATCGGATAGAAGGTTCAATGCCGTTTGGTCATCCATCTTCTCCTGCGGGGCCGAGGAGAAAACGTGTTTTATCTGTGAAGGCCTTTAATGCCTCTATAATTAAACTGCAACATGTGAGGAGCCTACCTTCTGGGGTTTTGCAGCCTGTTCTTCTTTATATTGTTTCATTTTCTTTCAAAATAAAAGTACAGTCAACAAAAGGTGAATATTCATGGGTTGAAGGGAAATTTAAAAAATGCAGCTGAATAAAAATAGCTTTACCTTCAGATCCTCCTCAGTTGGTCGGTACTCTGGAGGCAGCGAGTCGCTTCTCTCTCCCATCTTCTCCAACCTTTCTTCAACAGCCTTTTTCTCCTGCAGAAACAAACAGCCACGTGTCAGGACAACTCAGGGGRCGTCTGTTTCCCTGCGTGTGCTGAAAGTGCTGTATGCTACCTTAACCAGGTCTTTAGCAGGAATTGGGGCGGGCTGTGCAGGTTCAGGTGCGATGTCCTTTAGAGCGTCAGACAGAGCATCCAGGGCGTTATCTGCTCCTGCTGCCAGCTGAGATTAAAAGAAAAAAAACTTTATATGTTAAGAAACTAGAGAGTTTATGAGAGGTTCAGCTTTGCTCAGATGTTTACCGATTCACCAGYGTCTGCGGGAAGACAAGGAGCAGATTGTACTGCTGAAGCAGAGGTGGAGCAAACAAAATCTCCATCCAAGAAATCCAGAGCATCGTCAGGGGGCTGAGGGAGTGACAGAATGAAATGTGTTAAATCAAACCTGTAAATTACTGAATACGGTTTGTAAACCAAAGATGTGTACCTGTGCAGCAGGAGCTGAGGAGGGGACAAGAGCCTGAGCAGGAGCTGCCGAGGATGAGAAGTCTCCAGATAAAATATCCAGAGCCTCGCCCGTTTCCATGGTGGGCTGGTGAGAAAAAATAAATTAATTTCAAAGAACAAAACAATTACATTTTATACTAAAATAAATCAAAGAACAAACAGAAACCCTGCAGACCACATTAATCTAAAACTATGAGGTCCAGACTGGTCCACAGGGGAGCTCAGGGGCCTCATGTATAAACGGTGCGTACACAAAACAAAAGCTGTGCACCAGTTTCCACACACACACACACACACACACACGTCGGGATGTCTCAAAACCAACGTTACGTAAAAGTGTTGTGCTGCACAAAAAAAAAAATAATAAATTGGGAGGCAGCGTGTTTGTGAGGATTACACAGAACAAATTAGTCAGGCAATTTTTAAAAAAGATCTAAGTTTTACTGAATTCATAAATTCCTCTGTGTTTACAATGATTTATTAAAGATGGAAACAAAATATCTCAGCCTCATGCACCAATAAGGACAGAAGCTTCACACCCACACAACCACCACTCCTTTGCTTGTAGCAAATATATTTTTACACCCCACTATTTCTTTAGACTTCTCACTAATTCTCCATTTATTTTAACATTGTCCTGCATCTAGAAATCATTTCTGATCGCGCAGAGAGGAGAATCTGGGAAGAAACACACACGTTGGACACATTTGCATCAATTTTACATATTTAAATGGAGGCGTGTCAGGGGAGGTGTCTCAGGTGCGCTCAGTTCCACGTTCGTTGGGATGAATAAAGGAAAGGAGCGCAGACACATACAGTACATGCGCAGTTTTATACATCTGAGTATTTCTGTGTGAACGCACTTCTCCACTTTTGACCATACGCCAACTTTTTGTGTGAAAGCTCCACACTCTTTATACCTGAGGCCCAGACTGGTCCACACAGGGGATCTGGGCCCGTATTTATCAAACTTCTTAGAGTGGATTTTTAGACTCGAGTGCAAAAAATGTCTTAGATTTGCTCCTACTCTCAGACTTAAGTGTAAGTGCCAGTTATCAAAATTCTTAAGTCGAAGAATCACTCTTACTCTCCTGATAAGTTAAGACTGTAAGAGAGGTTAAGAGATGCCACTAGGGGTCTGAGATGGACTAAGGAGACAGATTACAGCTGTCCTCCTCCCCACCTGAGTGTTATTCTCAGTTTGGTGTAAAACAGGTTTAATCAGAAATAAAAAAGAAATAAAAGTAATAAAAAATAAAAAGTAAATAAAACAAAACTGTGCATAATGTTGGACTAAAAGGCAGATATTTGTGHGTGGCTTTTAGAGAAAACATTAAATATACTCAGCTGGTGAGTGCATGCGAACCCCCCCACAAAAAAAAAAATAAAAATAAAAAAAAGAATAAATGAAAATTACGGTGGGATTGAACTTTTTCTTTATTATATTACTAATCACGTGATACAATGATGGAGCGTGCGCTGGGGGAGAGGCTTCCCTTGGACCAAGCTGATAATGACAGAGTGGGGTTGTGTGTGTGTGTGTGTGTGAAGCAGGTGTTGTCTGCGGACAGTGGAGAGGAGGAAGAGGAGGAGAAGAAGGGTGCAAGCTCAACATTACCTCAGGCTCTGAGACATAAAATAACTTTAAAAGCTGAGTTTTTGATATAAAAATCTGACATTTTCTTGTGTTTTCATGATGCAAATGAGAACATTTTATGTAACTTACAGACAATCAGAACAAAGTGACAACATTAGTGTGTTGAAAGTGAAATTATCTTATTTTCACAGTCTTATCTTGACATGTCTCCAATAATATTCTTGAAAATGAAATCTGAGGCAGTGATTGGTTCATGCCGGGGTTTTTTCTAACGAYGTCATCCAGGATCAGCTTTGCGGCACAGCCAGGTGTCGCAAATCAGCTATAAGACTGACACTTAAGAATTACTCCTACACTTCACTTAAAGTGAGACTGAGACGCTTGATAACTGACTTTTACTCTCAGCTTTTAACTAAGAATGTTTTTACACTTAAGTCCACTCTTAGCAGCATTCTTAAGAGTAATTCTAAGAAGTTTGATAAATACGGGCCCTGATCTTTAGTTGTCCTGAGGTCCAGGATGGTCTACAGAGGGTCTTTAGTTGCTCCTAACGTGGAACCAGCTGCCTCTTCACATCAGACCAGCTTTAACTCTTGAAGCAGCAGGAGAGTTCACATGCATCAATTTAATTTTGTTTTACGTTTTATTGTATCTTTAAATGTTTTTATTTTACTGTTCATTGTTTTGTTTTTTTTCAGCACTTTGGTCAGCTGTTTTCAAAATGTGCTATATTAGTAAATTTGATTTGAGCTGATTTTTTTTATTTAAAGAACACAAACTCGTCAGAGAGATCATGTTTTGATAAACAGGAAGTGAATTTATGTTACCTCAGGTTCAGGAGCAGGTAGTTTTTGGAGATCTTCCTCTTTGAATCTGTACTCTGAAGGAAGTGAGTCCTCCCTCTCTCCTACCCGCACACCCTTCTCCTGCTTCACTTTGACCTCCTGTAAAAAAAAAAAAAGAGGCAAAATACAAAAGATAAAAACACAATCCAGTCTATACTAGAATTACACACAAAAAAACAGGATATGGAAATGAGCTTAAGAGTGAAAACTAAGGATATTGCCTATTTTACTTAATTTAAAAAAATGTGTACACTCCTTACAGAGATAATATCTCCAGGTTTGAGTTTGGGGGATTCAGGTTTTGGTTCATCCACTGGCAAAGTGTCACCGAGAGCACTGAGAACATCATCAGAGATAGACGGGTCCTGAACAGGAAGTAGGAAGAAAAGAGGTTAGTGAGTCAGGTTTTAGAAGACATGAGAACATTTCAAAAAAAAAATTTTAAATCATAAAATAAAAAGCAGTTAAAAAATAATTTGTGTCACCTTCTCAATCTTGGGTTTAGTGGATGCTGGTTTTGGAACTGTGGATTGTTGCTCCACGGGAGCCTTCTGCAAGAACAAAAACACACKGAGTTAAATGGCGTGTTTTTATTTTCAAATGTCTCAGAAGAGCCGGCATGCAGCTGAAGACTGCAGTGGGTTTCACYGCAATCCTCCAGAAAATAAAAACTCAGCAGTGTCCAATCTTGGTTCGAGGGCCACTAAACCTGCATGTTTTAGTTGTTTTTCCAGCTCTTAAGCAGGTCTTTAAGTTCTGCAGAACCCTGTTAAATCACTCATTCATTCAAATCAAGTGTGTTGTAGCAGAGAAACGTCTAAAACATGCAGGATAGTGGCCCTCCAGGACCAGGACTGGACAACACTGAGCTACATGTGTCAAATTTGTAAAAATAACAGAACAAACTACAAAATACTGATTTTCAAGAATTGTTAATCCAAAGGATGTGCAAGTCCTTTATTTAAACCAAATTAAAAATCATTTTAAAAGTCCAGGTTGGACACAATCTCTAACAAAAAATCCAAAGAGGGGATATTTTGTGTTCCACTGTTTTAATAAGGGGCTGGATATTGCAGAAAAGAAAAAAAAAACCAACTAATTCATGCAGACAATAAGACGTACCTCAGGAGGTTTCTTAGTAGGAGTGGCAGCAGCATGAACCCCAGAAGCTTTGGATGGAGCCACAAAATCACCAGACAGCATATCAAGAGCTGACAAATCCTCCACRTTTTTCTACAAAACAGATCCAATAAAACACTGTTTAAACCTAGAAGAAATAAAATACTGATCTCATTTCTGTCAAGTCAGCATGATAAAAAACATGGTACTGTGACAGTATGTGTGGGAATAAGAGGCTGACAGGACTGTACCTGTGCAGGAGGGGCTGTGGGTTTGACAGCAGCAGTTGAGGAGGTGGTGAAGTCTCCAGACAAAAAGTCCAGAGCTTCACCAGTATCCATGCTGGGCTGTCAGAGGACAAGTACAGAGTAAATTATTTTATTCATTTTATATGTGATTCAAGGTTACATCTGTTTCCTGTTTTTACCTCAGGTTCAGGAGCAGGTMGTTTTTTGAGATCTTCCTCTTTAAATCTGTASTCTGGAGGAAGCGAGTCYGCCCTCTCTCCGACCCGCACACCCTTCTCCTCCTTCACTTTGCTCTCCTAAGAAAAAACAAGATGATCATGTTGAACATAACTGATCTATACACTACACTTGTGAGAAATAAACGGCAAAAAGCTTCATGCTCTAACCGAGATGATGTCTTTGGGTTTGAGTTTGGGAGATTCGGGTTTTGGCTGATCTTTTGGCAATGTGTCTTCAAGAGCACTGAGAGCATCCAGAGATATGGAGTCAGTCTGAGGAGTCAGGAGGAGGCTGTTAATATGATGTCTCTTAAATAAAACATAAAAAATGACTTGTCTTGTTCTGCACCTTATCCATTTTGGGTTTAGCCTCAGCTCCAGCTTTCTCTTTCACGCTTGTCTTATCAGGGACGGTGCAGACAGCTACAGGAGGAACTCCAGAGGACTCAACTTTCTACAAAACAACAGACGACTCAGTTTAATGCTGAAGACCTGAGGGGGAAAATGTGTCAAAGTAGGACATGAACTTGTCTCTGTGACCACTAGTTTAAAAGCTTCTTTTATATCACCTTACATAATTCKAGAATACACCTTGACCACAATTAATAAACTGTAAACTTTACAGCTTGCCAGACCCGCCTGTACTGTACCTGAGCACTGGARGCAGACAGACCGGCCTCCAGAGAGAAATCATCAGAAACTTTGCCACCTGTGGCTTTCTTGCCAGCAGGAGGAGGAGGAGCTTTCTGCAACATAAAGAGTTAAAGAGCTTATAATAAACAACAGGACTGGCTTTGTTTAAATCTGGTCTAGACAGGAGCTGGATGCACTGCGTACCTGTGCAGGAGCAGAAGAGGGGGCGACCACAGGAGCCTGCACAGGAGGGGCTGATGAAGAAGTGAAGCCTCCAGACAAAAAGTCCAGAGCTTCACCAGTATCCATGCTGGGCTGTCAGAGGACAAGTACAGAGTAAATTATTTTATTCATATACTGCATTATATGTGATTCAAGGTTACATTTGTTTCCTGTTTTTACCTCAGGTTCAGGAGCAGGTCGTTTTTTGAGATCTTCCTCTTTAAATCTGTAGTCTGGAGGAAGCGAGTCTGCCCTCTCTCCGACCCGCACACCCTTCTCCTCATTCACCTTTCCTTCCTTTGGATAAAAGGAAAACAGGAGAAAATAAGACATTTTTCTGACGGTAAATGTCTCAACAGTTGTTTCAGTTTGTGCTCCTACCGGGACGATGTCCTCAGGTTTGAGTTTGGGAGATTCAGKTTTGGGCTTGTCTTCTGGCAACATGTCTCCAAGAGCACTTAGAGCATCCAGAGACATGGAGCCACCCTGAGAGGACATTATGACGCGTATTGATCAGCAGATTAGACTTCTATTAATTATTCATGTGTTCCACTTCGTCTCACCTTGTCAGACTGGAGTTGGGTGGAGGTTTTGGAGTCGAGTCCAGCTTCCAGGGAGAACTCAGCTCCAGCTTTGTCCATCTTTGCCTTTTTATCAGCTGGAGGAGCGGGGCACACGGCTACAGGAGGAACTGCTGCCTACAGGGACAATAAATAAAAGAAGAGTCTCTCTGAGCTGAAACCAATACAGGGTTCCTACAGTTTAAGGCAAGTTCAATTTAAGACATTTTAATGCCAAGTGAAATTAAATTTAAGACCAATTTCATAACAAAGACAAATGACCAAAAAATATAAAACTGTGGCAGAAACTCATTAACCAAAGTAATTTTGGTTGAAGTATTAAAATATTGCTAATAGACCAATTGTTTATATCCACATCTAACTATAGCAGAAACATTCTTAGCAGTTTTAAACTTAATTTAATTTCTGGAAATCCTCTAATGACCTAAAATTTGGAGTTTTAGGACCCACAGTGGGGTCTCAACCCCAATTTGCTGTAGATAAAACCTAAAGTGCCTGTGACATCAGTTTTTTTGTAAGAAAAGTGAATGCATTTTTGGAAAGACAACATTAACGCATTACAAAACAAATTTCACACTGCTCAGATGGACAGTTGTTGAGATATTTGCTTGTGAAATAACAGGAAGTGATGTCAAAGGGGAATGTCTGCATGCGAATATTTAAAAATATATTTTTACCAATTATTTTAATATTTGAAATGAATTACAATCATCCTATGTACAATGTGTTAACATGTTCTTAAAGACTGATTTTAGACATTTTAAGGCTAATTAAGGCCTTATTTTTGGATTGATGAATTGAATGCCTTTTAAGACTAAGGATCTGCAGGACCCCTGTATAAGGCTCAGACTGGAAATATGACACTAACGATATCTACAAACAAGTAAACAAGCTGCCAGAGACGCTGTTGTTGTCTAGCTTTAAAAAAGGACCATACTTTTATAATTCAGAACTGAAAAAAGGGGTAAACACATTACAGAAAATAAACAAGCAGTAATTTTTATATTTCATTAGATTTACCTGTATCAGCCACCGGCTGCCCTAACTTCTACAGATCGACATCAACCAGAGAAAAACTCATATTGGTGAACCTCTACACAACTTTGGTTCATCCAAGGCCAAATTAGACAAACCTTTGTGATTTTGACATGACAACACATTTAAACCAATATTACAACAAACCAAGCTTTGCTATTACAAGAAAATATGATAAATAATTCAACATCTTGAGATAATGTGATGAAAACACATTTCCACACATCCTCTCTTGGGTTCTGTATTGTAAATAATGCTGTAGAGGAAACAGTGGGCGCTCCTACCTTTAACGAGGAACCCTCTGAGGTTTTCTCCAACTTTGCTTTTTTATCAGCAGGAGGAGCAGCTTTCTACAAAACAAACATTAAAGAATTAAAAAAAACTTCTAGACACACTACTATTATTGAAAACCATCTATAAAAATACACCTGTCACAGATGAGAAAATGAAGTTAAAACTGAACAAGCAGCTGAGAGCTGAAACACTAACCTTCTTATCTTCTGGTCCAGGTGGAGCTGTGGACGTCGTGAAACCAAATGAAAGCGATTCCAGAGCCTCATCTGTGCTTATAGGTTTCTGAAATGAACAAAGACATGAAATATCACCCTCAGGAAAAAAAAAACCCTGCCAGATTTTTTAATTAATCTAAATTTAGTGAGAAACAGCCTGACTCTCCACTAGAGGGCACAACATGACAAACCTTCAGGCAAACAAAAGGGGAAAAAATAATAATGTGAACCAGACAGCCTGTGAGGGAAAAGTACGGACACACCCTTCTTCACATTCCACAGACACCAAAMACTAACAAATAAATGACCTTATATGACAGAAACAACACAGGAAAGCGAGCTGCTTTATCAGAATGTGAGATAAACACACAACCTAAACATTGAAGTCAAATAAGGAGAGTTAAAGATGAAAGGAGATCTGAACCAAGCATCCATGACAGACAGATAAAGCAGGAGTCAGCTGTGATGCAAAAGTGGGTGTGTTGAGTTGAATAATGACTAAACTGCACGTTTAAAGTTTAACAGCTGTATCACTGTGTATCGATGTGTGTGTGTGTGTGTGTGTGCGCTCACATATTTATGTGACTGTTTTGGTTCGACATGAATCGACTGGTTCTAACAGATGAGGTAGAGCTACAGCCAACACCCACTGGTGCAACACTCCCCCACTCCAGAGAAACCAGCAGGCCCGACAGTGGAAACACTGCTTCCTGTGTGTGTGTGTGTGTGTGTGTGTGTGTGTGTGTGTGTGTGTG